TCCGCTTAGAATTTTATCGATCGCCGGGTAAATCGAATTTATCGAAAGACTGAGAAATTTCAGCGGAGGATCGGTCATGGGAATACTACCGGGAACGTTCTCCCTCTCTCGTTCGCCGACTAGTCTCGTTTTCCGTCCCTGTTTCCCACTTCGTTCTCGCTTCTTTTTCCAGAGCTACCTGTACGCGCGTAGAAAATTAGAGGATCCGAGCAACGAGAGGAACTGGCCGGGGAACTCGATTTACATACCTCGACGGGCCTGGATCGCGTCGGATCAAGTTAGCAGGGGCGACGAATGAACTTAATTAAGCGCGTGCGCGAATCGTGGTTCGCGGCGTACACGTGCCATACACTTCGTTAAATTTTATTCGCCGTAATTGTGCGACTGCGTCGCATCGAGACTGGCCCTCGCCTCGCTTCGACTCGAATCCAGAGGGAGAGAGAGAGAGAGAGAGAGAGAGAGAACGCACGCCGAGCCGACGCTGGGCTTCATCCAGCCTCCTCTTTAATTACATCCTCGTCGGAGCTTAAGACCGAACTCACCATCACCCTCCTCCTCCTCCTCCTCCTCCCTCACCGTCGCGTTGGTGCCCGTCGACGCGACCGCTGCGAATCGCGAGTCGCGCGCAACGCCGACCCACCACCGAGAAAAAGGGACACCCTCTTGTCAACGGATCTTTTACCGCCGTTTTCCTCGTTAGTTGAATGTTAATGAGAAAAATCTTCGTTACGCGACATTCAAGCGAGAAACGTTTTACTCAGGCTCGGTTCACCGATGGAGCAACTGTCGCAAGGCCACGTGGCCCTCTTGCCATGGATAATAATTCTTTGTCGGTGAAAAAGACAACCGCGAATGAAAACGGCTTTTATCTCGATCGGAATAGAATTGCCCGATGGGGAATCATGTCACCGTGCCTCCGTCCCGTTCCTTTTCCGCTTCGAACGATACTCCGCGCACCACTCGAATCGATCGAACGCGTCGATGTATCTCGTTCTCATCGTTCCAGTTATCCTTCCCTCTCCATCATTTTCATACCGCCGATCGGATCCTTTTGCCTCGTCGGAAGCGACCAGACAGTGGCGTTCGAAACGTCCCCCCCCAACATCCTCGTCGACCTTTCGACCAGATAAAGCGTTACACCGAGATTTCCGCAACACCTATAGGCCCTCTTCCCACGCGAAACAACCTCTCTCATCCTGCAGTAGGAGGGAGGGATGGGAGACGACATTTCGATTCATCGAGTGCACAGTCTGCTGCACACAGACCGTACCGGTCCCTTTTCGTTTCGCCGATTCCTGACAGTTCTCCTAACGATTTCGTATTCCATTACACCCCTTTAAATTCGTCACTTTAACTCGCGTTAACATCGTTTCGCGTGATAACGCCGCGATATTTCGTTTAGTCTCGGAATTGAAAATTACTATCGCACGAACGCGTCCCAAAACGACGCGGCGATTGCAATACGAATATTTAATGCAATGTCAATTATTTGAATTCGGTTGGTAAATTAGTACCATATCGATTTCGGCCGTATGCAAAGGTACCATCCGGCATACGTATGTATGGCTAATTATGTATTCTCCGGACAATCAACGGAAAAATAATCGAGGCAAGGGACGCGCGAACGCGTGAACGATTGCCCCGCGACGATGCTGCTCCGGGAACCGAACGGAAGGCGGACAATTTTCCCGATTCGCCCTTTCACCTGGAAACGGTTTATTGGCGAGGTACGCGCCGGAGTGGAAATACACAGGCTGAATTACGGAAGCGAGAAAAAGGAACGAGAGAGCATCCAGGTGTCGGACTAAGTAATCGCGGATATAAAATATGCAACGGATTCCCTTAACGAAAACGCCGCTTTTTTCCCCGTCGTAATTAACGAGCCGTGCGGTAATCTACGTCGACTGCCAACTAATGGCCACGCGATTCCCATGTGGTACGCTAGAGGCGGACATTATCCAGACGCGAAGACAGTTCTCGTCGAACGTCGGAAGATACATATATCGTCGTATCGATGAACCGGAGAATACCGGGGAAAGTCTCGCATCGTGAGCCAGTGGTCAGTCGTTACCGTTAAAAAGAACAAGGAAACGCCCGGACATTTCGTTTCCGGTTCGAGGAGGTCCAAGTAGTCGGAGAGTACAAGTTGAAAAGTGCTGAAATCGCACTTCCTCCAGTACCTTTCCAGGAACGCGAGCGAAACGAGCGGCGAGGAGGCAGGCTGCGCGAAATAGAGGGAGAAAGGCGGAAAGGTGGAAGTTATTAGAGCTTACTGCCGTGCGTGTAGCCAATAAGAGTTTGCGGTTATGAGTACAGTTGCGAAGCTGTGAAACGGTGTAGGGAGAGATCAACTAGAAATAATTAGACGATCACGGACCTTTTCGAGCTCTCGCGTTTTCGATCGTTTCATCACCCAAACGACGATCGTTCGGAAGAATCGTCGGGTCAACAACAGAGAGGTAGACGGTCAATTACGATGCTCTTGGGAAATAACGATCCGTCAATAAGCGTGCATCTCCATTTACAATGGAAAACGAGACGAGAATACCACGCTGCTCCTACAAAACGATACCGCGCGGAGCATTTATCAAAGAAGAACACGGTTTGTATCAGGAAAGCAGCAGAGGGGGCCAAGAGGCACGCAGAAACGTGATATTCGAGAGAGAAGAGGAAAAATGATGAGCCAGAAATAATTAGCGGGGTTGCAGAGCGTAGCCGACCGAACGCAGATGTGTCAAGACCGTATGAAAAATTAATGACATCCCGTTCTCTGGCATTCCCCCACCAAACCCCTTTTTACTTCCCTCTTCGGTTCTTTTTTTTCCCCCTTTTTACTTAAGCCCGGTTTCCCTTTATTGCCAACCCTCTTTTGACGATCTCGCGTGTCTCGACGAAATTTAGCCGCGCCACGATCCCCGATAGGCTCTATAATTATCCCGTTTTATCTTCATCAGGTGGGGTGGTTCTAAGGGGAAAGACTCGCGACCGAGGAAGCGATATAACCTCACGTCCAACCGCTTACTCCGAATGCGTTTTCCATTCGAGTAGTCCGGGGTCCGGGCACACACACGCTTC